TTTGATGTTATTCAGCAGAAATTTGTAGATGTAATTTCGGTCCATGAAGTTCTTTCTCGTTAGCCCTGGTTTTTACCATACCAATATTTTCCATTTAAACTATAGTTGTTGTAATACTAGTATTTTTAGTAAATACAATTCAAATTTGAAAGCATAATTTGTTTGAAAAATACAGTACTCAAAATACAAAATGAATATCAAATTCCTAAAATGAAATGTTTACAAAATACAAAAAAATCTGTAAAAAATTTACAATTTTGTGTATCAATGAGTATCGAAAATATTCAAATACTCCTTTATAACTAACTAACTCATGTCTTATTAACGGTTTATTTTTAGAAGATCAACGTATTTAATCACAACGTGGAAATAATTCCGCTTCTGACTTGGATAACTCATTACCGAATATGTTCATGTGGTCGAATAATCAGATTATGGAGATGACCTGACGGAGATTGTAATGCTCTGCGTTAGGTGTGTATATGTATATGAATATTGGTTCAAATACATCAAATGCATAATTCTAATAGCGATACCTGCAGCAGATGCTTTGAGTTAATAGATGCATTTAATTTCCTAATATTTTAACGAACCGGAAAACCGGACAAACGTTGCTCAGTATAATTCAATATTGGTAGTACATTGGAATAAGACCGCCTAGCACATATTGTATTATTATTTATTCTGCATGACTTGGATTAACAGAAAGCCAACTGTTAGAAGCCCATGATTGTAATAATCGTAAAAGAAAATTGTCAATTGTGAAAGGAATTGCTCTTAATAATATTGGTTGCGAGATGAAATATCACCCCTAATTGTGTGCCTCCCGTAACTATCTTGTCCGTCTCATTAAGACGCTGGATATTACAATCATTTTGTTGATAAGAATCGTTGATGTCTATCTCCAAACTTTGCTCGACGTCAGGTGACAGAAAAGAAAATAATTCTAGAGCATGAAAGAAGTAAGGTTTATTGGGATTTATGTTTGAGCTACTTTTTTGTTAACGTGGAATGGATTTTTTATACGCTTATGAATTACCCGAAGGATAGACACCCTAATAAACATAGAAAGCATGTGCTTACATCGAAAGTGGAGTGTATTTGATACTTGCACATATACCATATATGTTTCTATGTATATATAGTATATATATATGTATTATCGCGCATATGTTACAAATGCGGTATGATGAGCTATTTGAGCCACTAAATCATTTGCATGCAATTGAATTGTTAAAGTGATTTAACACATAACTCAAATGTGCATGAACAATAGATCAATTGATACTTTACACTGTAATAGAGTCGCTTGGCGAACAGATATATGTAGCTAGAAATGAAATATAGTGCGCTCTCGTGCTTTATAACTTATCCAGAGTTTCAGTTAAGTTCATATGAAGGATTAAATGTACAGTTGTTTTACTGTAAAATTGTTCCTACAGGTAAGGTGTATAAATCTGAGTTTAGATAAAATTCTATTTTATTTCAACCAAAAAATGATTTTAATACATAAAATAGGCTTATAAGATTTTCATTTGAAATTCCGACTTCGGTCTTCGCGCTTTACAAGCAACAGAGCGTGTAATAACTCTTATTTCTACTTTCTGTTAAAGCGAATTTCTCCTTTAAGTTTTATTTTCATAAATGTGAGCCAAGAAAATTAGAGAATGCTGAAACATTTTGAAATAGGCTGGGACTGTCTGACTTTGTAATTCGCCGAATTCCAGTTTAAGAAAATCTGTCATGATACCTAATTTTGCGCGGAAGGAAGAACACATAATCAAATCATCGGAAGAAAGTATTCAGTGTTTCAAATTTTTGTTTGTTCCGAAATGCAAACTACATAAGTTGGGTGCGAATACGTTCAGTCGCCAGCGGAGCTATTCATTTCGAAGACATCAGAAGAAGTGGACTCTGGTACCACAGTAACACGAAAACCGGTGATAAGTTGACAAGGTTCCAACTGATCGCAAAGCGCATCTTTTAAAAGAGATACCAAGAACTTGAAAGATTATCGAGATGCATTCGCAAGCAGGAATAAATCAGTATGAAGAGCTTAAAACTAGTATAATGAACGAAAACCTCGAGCATAGTCATCTAAGACATAAAGAGAGCATCTGACGGCCAAAGATCAGATGGAACTGAGTTCGATTTTGGCACATTTTATATAGTTGCGATTAGATTTGATTCGAAAACAAAAAACGGAACAGCGTAGTTCACAACATGGCATCACGTTTTCAATGAAAGTTTCTTGATATTTTTTAAAGTCTAAGATAATAAAGTAGGCAATGTTTCGCGGTCGCGTTAGCCGGACAGTTAGTACTAAGTACTACTTTTTGGAATTGAAGTTCCCTAAAAAAAACCGTTCCATTCCATTTCTTGGAAAAACAACAAGACACAAAATCACAAATTGGTCGAAAAATCGTTTCAGCAGTTACAAAACGCCAATTTTATATATATAATGTAACTAATTTGCACTAATTTGCACCAAGTTATTCTTCTTTTTGATGAAATTCTCATAAAAAAATCAATATATCCGTATATTGACCTACTAAGCCTCCACGGTGGTCAGAAAGCGCATTTTGTGGAAATATATTTGTGCATAGCAAACATGCACAATTTATGTACGCACGTAACCGAATTTTTCATAAATAAATATATATGATAGTATATTATTTCATTACACGCACACAAAACCGGCAGTGTTCAATCGTTGTTAACAGTTCGTGCAGTTCAAAAACCTTTTTATATGTTCTCTCAAACTCGTTATTGAATAACTTTTTAGACTTCAAACTATTGCAATTAATTTTGCCAATATTTGCGAGCAAAAACCCCATTTATTTAATAATAATATTTTTTATTTTTTTTTTGGGTGGAAGTAGCCATATGATTGAAACGGTTATTGCACTTTAAAAATAAATTCCAATTACTTGCTTGTACTAACTTCCGATTTTGCATTCGCTCAGCTCAGCTTGATTTTTTTTAGCCACCGCAGCATTTTCAATGAAACTTTCGGTTTTGCAACATAAGTTTTGCCCACAGCACTATATACTCTCACACACGCTTATATTATATTTATATGTATATACGTGGGTACATGCCTACATACATGAGCTGGCTTTTAAATACATTTGTGTTAAGTGTGTATCAGCATTTGTGCGTGTGGTAATGTAGCAACAACTTTATTCAACAAATGCAATTATTCACATGCGCTTCATTGGATTTTGTAGTGCTGAGGGGAAAAAAGAAATGGGCTGACGCTGAACGGCAGTATAAAGGCTGGTAAAAGCTGACAAGTAGACGTTATTACAAAAAGGCGTACGTAAGCGTGTTTGTATGCTGGGTATTACAAATAAATTGAGATAAACGGCTTAAATGCCGTTGACGGCCACCACCGAAGAATATCTATCTATTCAACAAATAGTACTTGCCTATAAGTTATGAGCAAGGTGCATTCCACTGCAAAAGGGACGATGATTTCATTAAAGTAAGCAAACGTGGCACGCTGGCTGCAATTTACCATACAAAAGTCAAGAAAAAATTTTATTACTTTATTTACTTGATTTCTGTTTTATGAGTAAAATGAACTTTTCATTTACGTTCTTTTATTTAAATTATTTCTGCTTAAAAAAATTGTATCGAAACTAAAATCTCAAATCCATAACGCAAAAAGCAATTAATTTTAGCTCCACGGAAAGTAATGACAAACACATCTAAGGGCTGCTCAATCTCTGATTGGAAAGTCAGCTACAACTGGCCGAATAAGAAATTTAGTGTATGATCACACCACAGGAATTTCGGCTAAAAAAGTAAAGCTTAAAGATGAGAAATATATGGGTTGCGTTCATAAAACGTATTTATTTTTTTAGTTCTTGCATTTTTTGCTTATTTTTTTAAAATATCGAAGCCTCTATAATATTCACCTTTGGTCTCGACCTTATGCTCTTTCAGCAACTAGATTTTTAATACCTCAATCGGTTCAAACTATGCGCTTTCATCGTTCTTTTCAGTTTTGGTAACGGCAAAAAGTCACAGCGTCGCACGCACATCCTCAAGGGTATATAGCCCACATTGATTGTAGGGTATTGTGGTAAAAACCGATGATGCACAACGCCATAAAAATCATAGAAAAAAAGTTTACAAACCTTTGTTATCGAACTTGGCGTACTTTCCTTAATTATCGATTTCATGGACACTGTTATTTGGGCGATGGAGCTTTAGTTTCGATGCCATAGCTACATTTACATCCCTTTATGCAATTGGCGATTTTTGTGGATATTCTTCCACATGGTGCCGCTAGTTCCAATTTCTCCAGATTTGATAGAGAAGCGAAACGAATGGGGGTTGCTTGAGATACCGACTAGACTGATATCCTCTTTTAACTAATCAGGTACGGATTTGACGATATTTAAAAAAAATTCTTAATCATTTAAACATGTTTTCGGCTAATGTTGTGCTGGTGAGTCTAGAACTCCATAAAATAATGTTTTTTGTATTTTCTGTAAGAAGCTTGTAACAATTCATTTTTTTTTTGACTCACCGTATGCGACTGCCAATATTTTAAGAATTTTTTTTTAAATAATTTTGAGCTAATTCTTTTTTTACCTTTCTAGATTTTACGACTGCCAAATAAATGTATGATATGTTGTAAAAATTTGGAATTATTATTATTTTTTGGATTTCAGAATGTAATCATTATGCAATCCTTCAACATTTTCTTAATACTATTTTTTTGTTTTTGCAATTTGATAATACGGATATTTTGACAATGATACCTTGGAGATCCTTATGTTTGTATAAATCTAATTTTAAATTATTGTATATAGCTTAGAGTAGAATTCACCTCTCTTGGCAAATTTACTATCCGCTGATTTACTTTTTTTTCTGCTGAGTTGTTCGGCTGTGCCCATTTCATGCCATTAACAGACACAATGCTTGAGCAGTCAAAGAGTTTGACTTTTTTCTTCTCTCTAATCATAAATTCAATAAATTTTACTTACTTCTTGAGCGTGGCAGCCAATGCTAGATCGGGTCGAACATCAAATCTAGTCTGCATATAGAAACGTAATAAATTATCTCGCTCATTTTCACGTAATCCTTCTTCAAGTGCTAATGCGCCCAGCGTGTGATATGATTCAGACTCGGTAACGCCGAATAATAAATCATAGCTAAAAGGGAAGAAACCAATAATCACGCGCATATTACTATATATTTCAATATAAATACATACATATGTTATGTATATTTATATATATGTGTTTGTATGTGTGTGTATTATAACCATAAATAATATCGACTAATACCACACCTTAAGCTTGCTGTGGCAACAACAATGCTATTATATAATATTATATGTAAATTACACGTACACAAGTGGAATAATGCCAAACCGCAACAACAAACATACATAAAATATTACAACAAGATACACTAATATCTTCAGCCTTAGTAAAACCCGAAGCCAGAAACCAACAGCAAACTATCATCAAAACGCGTTTAAGCGCAACCACTGTATATATATAATTGGCGCTTTGTAACCGCTGAAGCGATTTCTCGGCCGAGCTCCTCCTTCAATTTATTGTTTTGCCTCTTGATGTTTTTCCAACAAATGGAGGGACCAACAATTTATACTAAGCTACTTCCAAACGGCTGAGTGGCGACCGCAATTAGAAAATTCAACTTATTTTTTTATTTAAATTAATTTTTTATAATTTTTGGATGTTGGTCGCCCCGAGATTTAAACTCGAGCCTTCCGAATGGCAGCACGCAACGCTAACCACCTTGCTACTGCGACCGCATTTCCTTGTGAATATGCTTGTGTACTGAATATGTACTATATATACATACATACATATATACTATGTACAGATTTATATACATACATATGTACACTAGGTTGATCCAGATTAATTATTTTGCTTGCCCCTATGAGATATATATACACATTTAAAATAGTACATCTGCTATAGGTTAGGCTAGGTTCCAATCTATAGGCAAGCACTCAATCCACCAAATTTCGCAAATTAGCTGACGCAAGCACCTTTCCATGCCTTCAATACCATATTTGATTAGCTTGGGCTTATCATTGTAGATTGGCGAAACGCGTCTTTTATCGTCATCGACAGGGGATTGCGGCTCGCCACCGCTACTGCAATAGTATAAGCCAAACTTGTAACCTGCTGTAAGCCACGGAATGTCAGTCAGTTCTTTTCTCTCTTATGTCCTTTCTTTTCCCCTCTTCAAATACGTCTTGGTTTCATCTCCAATTATCGGTATTGTGGTCATACACTTCCCGTGGCAGTCAATAAAAGATTTGAGAGGCAGGTAGTATTTTTTTCTCCAAGAAAGTGCTCCAATCTTTACGGTACTAGCTCTTCTAACAGCCTTGCCAAAAAATAAATATTTTACACCACATTTCGTTTATCAGAGTTAGAGAGTAGTCTGAGAGAGTGGAAATTCGGTTGGCTGTCTGTTGTGATTTCAGCACCCCGACATTGAAACTTCCTTTTTTTGTTGGGCGTTTTTTGTGGCTCTACGAGCTTACAATCATCTTGGACACTACATACGTGTACTTCGTCTAACACAAAATAATCGAATGGTTTTTTTTTTTAAATTCAGTTCCAAATAGCCTTTCCTGAAATCTTATGTCCAGACAACTATATTTCGAGCCCCTTAATAATTTTTCTGCCTTTGCATGCACCTCATTTGTACTCTTTAAATCATGTAGAAAATCATAATTTTGTAAATCGGACTCATCTTGGCTTTCTCTTCTTGAATGGAATTCGGGCCAACCTAATACCAGTATATATTGTACTTGGAAATCTTATGTGCATATGTATTTGAATTCTCGTTCACATATTTCTTTACCTCAGCATTTGGTTGCTCGTTGCGGTTTGTTAGCAAATACACAGGCGTTAATAGCAAATAATGGTTGTGGTAAATTTTGGTAGATTTTTGAGTAAACGCCCGAAAAGCCCTAATTTCTCTGAAGTGCCCTAACTGAAATATACTTTTTACTCCTTGAACACAATTAAACTTATTAATTTCGCGAGTACGTAAATTAATAAAAAATATATTTATAGAAAATCGTAGCTACAAATACATTTTAATATATAAATATAACTATACTTGAGCCAAATGTATTGGAATATCTGATAAGTAGAAATTTGCTGAGTTAAGAAATTCACTTGTATGAACAATATTACAGACACGTGTATGTATAGGTACTCATGTGTACACAAGTCTGATTAGCTACGCAACAAATGTTTGTATTTTAATTACTAATCCATTAAAAGGTGCTTAATTGTTAATTAGTACAATGTGTGTGCATCATCTGATAAAATCGTTTTACTTTGTTGTGTTCAGTATTTGCGGCAAACATTGCGTGTATAGAAACTAAAGGATAATATTTACTATATGTGAGCTTGTGCACACGTTTTCATTTTGGAAATTACGTAAAACATATTTTGAGGGAGCTACATTGTAACCAAGGAAAAGGGAAGAAATATATTACATAACGTATATAATTAAGTGGAAGCGAGGAGAACATTGATGAACATTGATTGACATATGAGTTGATGATTAAATATAATTTATATGCTAGCAGGTTTGTAACCGCTGAAATGATTTTTGGTCGATCTCCTCCTCCAATTTGTGGTTCTGCGTCTTGTGTTTTTTCAAAGTCACCTCCGAATGGCCGATAAATTTGTAAGAAGTAATTTTATTTCGTATCCAAATACAATCGGAGGGCGCCAATTGCGATTGGAAAAACTAGTTTTCTATAATTTTGAATGTTGGTCGAAGCCTGACCTTCCAAATGGCAGTACGTAATGCTAACTATTCGGTTATTCGGGCTGCTAAGCGGCAAATTAAAAAAGAAAATATTTGAAAGAAAAATACTCAAACTTAAGTGGTATTTTACGAGTCTAACTAGTTTCAGATTGAATTAGTTATTTTTTGTCTCACTTTATAAGAGCAAGCTCGTACTGAGGTATATAGTCAAACGCCATACGTGTTATGTTATATTTTAGTAGTTATAGCCTCGTGGGTTCTCATTTGCCACCTATTGGGCGCATTTTAGATCTCAGCAAATGCTGTCGTTATCCCGATAGTTATGATAAATCGTAAGTATTATTAAAGAGATATTTCATTGTACAGTAAAATAAATCACAAGTGTGGCCAAAAACAGAGTTTCATACTTGAGAACTGTGCGATAAAAGTGCGTTTATTCATTTTCCGGAAATAAAAATAAACGAGGGTTTTATCATTACAATTTTTTTAACTTCCTTATTTTTGGCATATATTGATTTATACATATCGCTGCATATTTACAACATACTGATGACATGGTAGGTAACATGTGGGAACAGCATACGGAAAATTGAACTCAGGCTTTGAAAATTTAAAGTCAAATGGCATATATTTGTGGTTCCTGCAAACATCAAAAATACTGCTCCGATTGACTTCCGAAGGATAAAGTAGTTTTGCAGAATCCTTACAAGCACTCAACTGCTCAGATAACAAGAAGTCGAATTGGATTTTGAATATAAATAGATTCCGGGTTTTGAATATAATAGATTAAATATAAATAGATGAGTCCGTATGGCTTTGAGCAATACAGCAATAAAGTATTCAAAATCAACTAGCTAAGCATGTGTAAGGATTAGTAAGATATTTAAATTTTATTTAAAAAAAAAAATATTACTCAGCAAGCGTAAAATAATATTAATGTCATGCAAAGACGAAAAAAATTCTCACACTGTAATATAAAATATTTCATACTCTTCCAATATTCCTATTGTCAAAAAAAAATGTTCAGGGCAAATGCTAATAATTTACAATAGAATTCTATATATATATATTTTACATCTACAATTCAACTTAAAATATTGAAGAGGAAAACAGAGAAAAATTACAAACCGACTAAAATGTTCTGTATACTGTCCCATCACTTTGTATGGCTGATTTGGTATCACATGGCCATCGACAATTGGACCAAATGGAGTTGAAAATTGCGGAAATGATGTTGGTATTTTTAAGATGTCCTGATAGCTGGAAAAAATATTAAGAATAAAATACAATAAAAAAATAAAATCAAATAGACAATATGAAAATGCACGTTTTATTATAAAAGGAACATATTTGAGAGAAATGGAAAGAAATAAATAAAAATTATTGCACTTAAGTCAATATATATGCACTTGTAGAGAAACAGCATCGCATAATATTAAACAGTGTAATATAATAGGTATATAAATACTGAAAGAAATTCTGAATACAGCGGAAGTACAACACAGAGAAGGGCAAAGGAATATATGTGTGAGATGTGAAATCAGAACGAATATAATATGTATCAGAGGAAGGTGTGAGCAAAAGGAAATTACAAGTATGCAAAATATATGTCAAACTAAGTTTATTTCTCTATTTCCGCACCACAGCCCATTGCGTATACGCCATGTGTGTCAGACGCTTGCCAATCTAACACACATAAGCATAAAACTATATATATACTATAAAACTACACAATAACACAATAAGGCAGTACAGTATGTATAAAGGTGGCAGTACTTCGTATAATAACGCTTTCTATTTCATTGCGTTATATAACAAAACGATACGCTGCGCATTTAAATATTTTATTTTCAACATCGTTGGTTGACGGCTTGAATGTAATGCGATGAATTTTCTACTTGCTTGTGTGCAGATCGGTAGGTTATGGAACCGACTTACCTAAAGTAACAGTAATTTACATTGAAATTTTTAAATTTAACGCATCATTTACTGCTTCTCATTTACCCCTTAGACATAAATACATTGCAAGGCAGTTCACATAGAGACAAAATAAAACGAAATAAAATAATATAAATTAAAATAAAAAAAAAAATAAAATAAAAAAATTTTAATAATATTGGATGAGTGCATAAGTTCGTGCCCGATTTCAAGTGCAAACTCAGAAGGCCGTCCACTGTGTGGTTGATCTTCGAGGCTAAAATCTCCAGCACGAAATTTCGCGAACCATTTCTTTACTGTTAGGTGCGCTTGAGCACGATCCAAATAAACTTCGCGAATTTCTTTAGTTGCAGCGCCTACTGTTTTTCCTTTGCGGAATTCGTATAACATAATATGACGCATATGATCTTTTTCGTTGTCCATGTTCAATGCGTCTTTTCACTAAGTAGCTTATATCAAAATGAAGTTATTTTATGTTTGATTTACAGTTCGGACTGCCACCTTTCCAACGATATATAATATGTATATATTTCTTTCACGAGCGCCACTCTCAAACGATTCGAACGGCATCCAGCGGAATCGGGCACGAACTTATGCACTCATCCAATATATTAAACAAATAAATAAACATATAAATATAAATATAAAAAAAAATAACGAAAAGAAAATAAAATAAGAAAATCAAATAAATGACAATAAAATGCATTAAAATACAATAGAATAAAATAGCATTAAATAAATACAAGAAAATAAAAGAAGTTAAGTCGAAGTAAAATAAAATAAAACAAAAGAAAAGGAAATAAACTAAAGTAAATTAAAATAAAACAGTTTAATTTAAAAGAGGTATAAAATCTAACAAAAATAAAATAAAATAATATAAAAATGTAAAAAAGTAAAAAGTAAAAGTAAAAGAAATAAAATAAGATAAAACAAAAGGAAGGCAATAAAATAGATAAACATGAAATTATAAACAGTAAGAAAAAATTGTTAAATTAAGATAAAATTAGTGAATGATTTTTTTTATAAAATATTATTTTGACGATAGAGGCCATATCAAAATTTATTAAGTATTTTTCGCATTAGTTGTTGGCTACATTTATGTATGTCGCTAATTTTTCGCACGAACATTCAATTTATCTGCGCCCAAATTGAGCTCACAAAAACAAAATCATATTTAGTATTTTTCTCCTGATATATCAGCTCGGTAGGCCACAATTGGAATATTTGTCATAAAGCGAATTTTCCATATATGTTTGTATGTATAAACTCACTTCATATTATTAGAGCATATAAAAAATTATTTTACGTTTCTTTTCAGTTTCTGCCTGAAAATTTTTTCTTTGCATAATAAATAATCTTTTGCAGACAAATTGAATTGCTCACATTAATGGTGAACCACAAAGCGTTTTCAGCTCTGTCACTTGAGCTGCAAAATCTCGAGTGCCATTTATGTGTATAACAGCACGTATCAATGTATGTAAAGGCTACTGTAGCGCTTTTAAATGACAAATTTGCAACACGTGCTTATCGGGAGAAAGAGCTTGAAGATAAATACATGAATAAACAAATATTTATATACAAATATGCATATGCAAACATAAAAACACACGGGCTTAAAAATGAATAGCGTATAAAAATAAATAGTGAAGAGTTGGTAGAAACAAGGCATGGAGGAGACTTTGAACAAGAGCTGTCAGTGGTTGAGTATAAGCTTGCTACGACATGTTGCAAACGAGGCAGCTGTAGGATACAATTTATAACGCAGCTTACTTACTTGATATGAACACATAGACTGTTATAATTGAAAGTGATTTAAGTCAATTTTTGCAATATAAAAATTATGTAATTTTTTAAGCAATTAAATCGAAAGAAAATAATAAAATAAAATAGATAGGAATATAAAATTAATTAAATGCATTGAAAAATATATATTTCGGCGGCATATATCAAGCCTTAAGAGTATATTTCTGACATAAGTATCGGAGCATTTCATACGAATCTAGCGGACGTTCAGAGGCGGCTTAGAAGAACCGTATGTTCATCCATTTGTTACAAAAACATCAAATCAATCCACCCTAAATAAATTTCATCTAATTAATTTAAATACCCAGTAATAAAAAATTCCTAACACCGATCCTTAAAATATCGATAATTGCATAAATAGACTTACGTTACTTTCATCAAAAGCAGCATAAATCGCCGTCATTAAAACATAACAAACACACACACACACTCGATCAAAGAGCATATTTTAATATATTGCCAACAGAAACGATAAAAACTATAGCGGTGGTGGTGAGCTTTCAACGAATTGTCGACAAGACCATGTGAGTGATGACACAAAGGCTTCAAAGCAACGAATTGCAGTGGCCAATATATCATAAATCACTGTTGACTGTTTCAATAAAACTTTCCCAAAAACATTAAAGTAACTGCGAGAAAAATACAATATAAAATATAAAATACTTCATCCATAAAAATAGTGATGTGGTGAGGAACCATATTGCAGTAGCGTAAATTTTTACCTGAAGCGACAGGGAGGGAGACAGAGAGAGAGCACTTCGAGATCATCTATTCACTTACTTACTTAACTGGCGCAGACACAGCTTACGCGATTATGGCCGATTTACAACAATACGCAATTCGTTTCTTTTTTTTGCTGCTTGACGCCAATTGGAAATACCAAGTACAGCCAGATCCTTCTCTACCTGGTCTTTCCAACGGAGTGGAGATCTTCATCTTCCTCTGCTTCCTACGGCGGGTACTGCATCGAAAATTTTCAAAGCTGGAGTATTCGCATCCATACGGATCACATGACCTAGCCAGCGTAGACCGAATCTTAATTTGCTGAACTATATCAATGTCGCCGTATAACTCGTACAGCTCATTGCTCCATCGTCTGCGATATTTGCCATCGTCAATGCGCAAAGGACCATAAAGCTTACACAAAACCTTTCCTTCCTAACGCCGACTCTTCAGATGTTCTCATCGTCCATGCTTCCGCGCCATATAGCAAGACCTGAACGATGAGGGACTTGTGGAGTTTGGTTTTCGTTCGTCGGGAGAGGACTTTACTTTTCAATTGCCTACTCAGCCCAAAGTAGCACCGGTTGGCACTGGGAGGCTGACATTATTGATGGTGTTAGTGATGGTTCCTAGGTAGACGAAATTATCCACGACTTCCAAGGTATGACTGTCAACAGGGAGCCGAGTCGTGAATGCGATGACTGTTTGTTTGATGACAAGAGATATTTCGTCCTTTCCTCGTTCACTACCAGTGCTGCTCGCTTCGCTGTTTATCAAGTCTTGAGAGGCAAAACTCACGGCGCGATTGTTGAGGCCAATAATGTCAATATCATCGCTCTTATAAAAAATTGTACATTCTGTATTCAGCTCTGCAGCTCGTATTATTTTCTCCTGCAAAAAAATAAAAAGTCACACGATAAGGAATTACCCTGTCTGAAACCGCGTTTGGAATCAAACGGCTCAGAGAAGTCCCTCCCGATCCTGACGGAGCTTTTGATGGTGCTCAAGGTCAGTTTACACAGCCATATAAGTTTTTCGAGAATACCAAATTCAGACATAGCGGCGTTAAATCAGCTCCTATTCGTGCTGTCGAAGGCGGCTTTAAAATCGAAGATAGGGTGGTGGGTATAGATCCTCTTTTCACGTGTCTTTTCTAAGATTTGGCGCATGGTGAATATCTGGTCAATGGCAGACTTACCAGGTCTGAAGCCACACTGATCAGGTCCAATCAGTTTGTTGACGGTGGGCTTTAGTCTCTCACACAATACGCTCGGCAGGACCTTGACGACGATATTAGGGAAGCTTATCCCACGGTAATTTGCGCGGACTGTGGGGTCCCCTTTTATATGGAAGGGATGGTTGGATGGATCACACTTAAATTTCAATCGTTGGGCATGCTTTCGTCTGGCCATATTCTGCAAAGTAGCTGCATCTTGTCAGTTCCTTACCGCTAAGTTTGAATAGTTCTGCCGGTAGGCTGTCAGTTTCAGCCTTTTTTGTTTTTCAAGCGGGCGATTACTACTCGTACTTCTTCTTTGTCAGGTAATAGAATGTCTTTTCGATTGGGGTTTCGGGTTCATTATCATCTAGCATAAGTTGATTTTTACCTGTGCTTCCCTTATGCCTCTTGAGAATAAATATTCCAATTAAAATTATCTTTGGTTTTTGGCACAGGAATTGGGTTTTCCTGAAACATTTTTTCAACAGAGCAACCTTAACTAATCGAAAAAAATATGTGGACTGAAACTATTGGTGTAGGTGGGGCCAAGGAAATTTCAAATATGCTTTTTTAACTG